CTAGTATAGTAAGGCCAGGAGCCCCTAGTAGCGTCCTTGCTCCTAGTTGTAAGGCCAGGAGCCGCTAGTAGCGTCCATGCTTGCAGTAGTAAGGCCAGGAGCCCCTAGTAGCGTCCTTGTCGGGGGCATCGGATCCAAGTCAGGTTGGATGGTATGTGACATGTGGAGTTGTTTCAATCATGGGCATCCGGCTGGTTGGTGTTTCTGGTTCGTGTTGACCCTGTTCCTGGGGCTATTGTTCAAGCATAATTATTACGCAGGAATTATGGAGCAAAGCAGCTTCATTGAAAGTTTTGGAAGCAAAAGCTGCATTTCTAAACATGTGGTTCATGCGCCAGCAACACCAGATTTCGGCAGTCCACAAACGACCCACTCCCATGCTTGGCGGCTGAACCCAACTCTCCCAAGATCCTTCTCCACGCTAGCACAAGTGTAGCCCAGCCCAGGTGTCCATCCCTGAAGATTGACGATGAAGCCAGCAACCGCTGAAAAGAACCAGAGTGCTGAAAATGCAGCGCCGACAAATGTCAGTAATAACATAATGAGCGTCAGCATCAAGGACCAAGAGACAGAGTAAGAATGTGAATGCAATGAAACATTGATATACCAAGTTCCTCAAAACTGCTTTCAAAAGCCTTAGGGTGATCGGGATTAACCATGAATAAGTCTAAGTATGATGAACCCAGTCGGAGGCGCTCGAAGATCATTCGTCAGGTGAATTTCATGAAAACTACACTCCTTGCAAACAAATTGTTTTGCTTGTTTTGCGGTTTGTGGCAGGAGTAGTGGATGGGAAAGGATTCAACGATCTAATCATTGGTTGTAACTATTGGTTGTGCTTTTTCTGCAAGCCGTCTTGTTTAGACAATCCTGCTTGCATCGGAGCAAGCAGGTTCCAGGTCCTCTGGCGGACGAGCCGCTCGGGCACGCAGGAGAGCCAGCTCGACATCTTTCCTTGCTAAGTCCACCATGCAGGAACTTCTAAATGTGAGAAACGTGGTGGCAAATGCACATAAGCATTATAGACACGTTTGCATTGCTTTGCCCCTTCCCCTCTTGTCTTCGACCTCTTGCTACATTGCACGATTGTTACAAGGGAAAGCCCAACATGGTTCAGATTCATGGACAAAACATCATAGCCCTTGGTCAGATTGGTCACTCAAGCTGCTGCCAGAACCAAAGCCCAAACACGACTGTGCTATCTTGGAAGGTTTCGAGTGGATTGTTCTTGGGGGCTTCTAGAAACACTTAGAAGAAGAAGCAAAAGAAAAAAAGTAATATAAGAACACTACCTCTTCTAGCGGCCTACTCCCCCCAGGGCTTTTGAACAATTGATTTGGTTATATACTAGACTCTTAGACTTGAGACTGCTTTCCAAGTCTCTGTGTGAGGTCCCGCTCCTGCTCTTCCAGCTGCCGCTCTAAATCTTGGATGCCTCAATCTGATCGCTCTTGGGTTGGAGGCCATCGCTATTAGGTTGGAGACCTGACACTCGACCTCCCTGGCTGGTTCAATTCACTGCACAGTAGAAGGATGCTTGAGAAAAACTTCAGTCTGGGGATGGTTGGCCTTCGGGGATCAGATCATGGAACTGCCATGTTCAACTGGAACTGCGTCACCCTGTTTCTTTCTGATGATCGGACTGATCGCTGCCATGCCACGAACTTCCTTTGCCAAGAGTTGTCTTCCAAAGTCCACCACCTCAGCGCTTGAAATCGGGAAACCGTCCACCACCTCAACAGTCCCCCACCTCAACGCCGGGTTTTCTGGTCACCTGCAGACTTTCCACCTTGCTGCCTTGGAGGTTTTGCAACTTCTCCATTGTTCTACCACCTTGCTGCCTTGGCACCTCTAGAATTCCCCAGCTGACCTGCAAAACACACGCTCCCCGAAAAATGCTCGAAGTGCCAGCATCCAGCCCTTTCACTCCTGCTTGGACAAGGCTATGTAGGCACCTAGAAGCGATGGCCTCCATTTTACTGCTGTGCACCCTGGAGATAATGCACCCTCTATACTTCGCGCGCTGGCGGCTCACAAACGTCGCATGCACCATTGGACGGTTCTTCCGGAAGCCTCCTTGCATAGCCCAAGAAAGATTCACCAACAACTACCCGTTGATCTTTTGGTCAGGTACATGCAGGATAGTACCAGTCTTCTTTTTCCATCTCCAGCCCATGTCACAATGTGACATTGTTTGACACCGTCTCGCGGTCATGTCGCCTGCTGATCCTGTTCTGCCACGCGAGCTTCCAACTGAGCAATTCGTTGGTCCCGGTCACGCAAGTGGTGACCAGCTTCACTGAGAAAGGCG